ATGATAGCCTTTGGAGTCTTCCTGATTAAGCTTACCAGAAACACTATTTTCTAGCATTCAACTCCAGTATATATACTGGAAAATTCTACTTTGAAAATTACCCTTTCACACCACTCTCCCACCTCCTTAAACCCTTGACAGTATCTTTCTAAATTTAGATAAATTATCCAAACCTCTTATAGGCTATATATTTTTATCAAGCTATATGTAGATAGTAAAATTTAAAAAAATTAGCAAAAGCTTTTGTTTGACTATAAAAATGTAACTACGTGAATGCAAAGAGTATTCTTTTGTGTAGTTATGGAACTGCATTCTAAGAACAAACTGACATCTCAGTTTATTTTACTTACACAATAAGTTTAATTTACATAGAAATGACAGAGCATTTCAAGAGCAAGTCTTAAAAAACAATTTCTGCTGAATGACTGCTATAATAATCTCCTTAAGAGAGAAATAAACATAAACTAAAACGGCAGTTCTGAAACATACATAGTAGTTTTCTAGTGAAGACAAAAGTCGATATTTAGTAGGAACATACTAAAAGAAGAAGAAAATAAAAAACAAAAAAACAGAAGGGGTTTTGGTTTAGATTGTTGGCTAAAGCCAGAATCTGTTTCCTTAAAACTTCAATCATCAGAAGCTATTTATTAAGGCAGGCTCCTAGGCAATAAACTCAAATTTGTAATATCTTCTGAATTCCACCCTACCCATCAATGAGGAGAAAGGAGGTTTTTCAGTGCTTCTGTGTCCAGGACGTGGTGAAATGCTTTCTACAGGCTCTCACTTACTGCAACTAGTGACATCGCTGGTAACATGAAGTACTAAATTACTTCCAAAATATAAATGCAAAACTTTGTTTTCTAGGAAATTTAGGCAGTTATAGAAGAACTTCTATTTTCTGAATTACAGTGGATTCAGTCTAGAGTTTGACCATGAAGAATAAAAATTTTCCAACAAAACATGCCATAAATATAGACAGATGACTTTTAATCAAATAATTTTTATCAGCAAAGCCATAATTGTCTGAAACTCTTAGAAATTAAATGGGAATTAGAGTAAAGTAATTGAAAATTGTTTAGTTCTACAAATGTGAAAATCATCATTAGCCTATCATTTTCCTTTCAATAAGTAAACATTATCTTCATGTTCAAATTCCTAAAATTAAGAAATTTCCTAAAACACATAGGTCTAGAATTTATAGTTTATATATTTGTATAACACTCATTTACTATTCAACAAGTACCATAAGAATACAGAAAATTTCCCCACATTGCCGAAAGATATGCATTAAAAAATATTGTAGGGGGCGCCTGGGTGGCTCAGTGGGTTAAGCCTCTGCCTTCGGCTCAGGTCATGATCCCAGGGTCCTGGGATCGAGCCCCGCATCGGGCTCTCTGCTCAGCAGCGAGCCTGCTTCCCTTCCTCTCTCTCTCTGCCTGCCTCTCTGCCTACTTCTGATCTCTGTCTATCAAATAAATAAATAAAATCTTAAAAAAAAAATATTGTAGGGGTGCCTGGGTGGTTCAGTGGGTTAAGCCTCTGCCTTTAGCTCAGGTCATGATTTCAGGGTCCTGGGATCGAGCCCCGCATCAGGCTCTCTGCTCAGTAGGGAGCCTGCTTCCCCCTCTCTGCCTGCCTCTCTGCCTACTTGTGATCTCTGTCTGTCAATAAAATAAAATATTAAAAAAATAAAAAATAAAAAAAAATACTGTAATACAGTGTAAAGTATCTTAAAGAGAAAGAAAACAAACTCATGCTGTTAGTTTACTAACATTTTTTAAATTCTATTTTATTATTTTTACTTAATTTTTAATCTTGCTAAGTGGAATATTCATATTTAAGGTCACCTTAAATTGTTCTTTTTTTTTTTTAAGATTTTATTTATTTATTTGATAGAGAGATAGAGAGCAAAGTAGGCAGAGCGGCAGGCAGAGGGAGAGGGAGAAGCAGGCTCTCCACTGAGCACGGAGCCCGATGTGGGACTCGATCTCAGGACCCTGGGATCAGGACCTGAGCCAAAGGCAGCCGCTTAACCGAATGAGCCACCCAGGCGCCCACCTTAAATCATTCTCAAAAGAAGGCAAGATAGGCGGAAAAAGAGAATGAGAAGAAAAGGAATTGAGAAAAAGAAAAAAAAAGAGTGGTAGAGGAGATGAGAGAAGGCTTCCTAGAAGATATGAAAGCCAAAACCTGAAGGCAGGTAGAGGTAGAGGTATAATGAACAAGGGAGCAAGGGCATTTCAAAGACAGAAAACAGTACGAGATAAAAGTATAAGGTATGAATGAAGGACAGTAAGGTGGTTAAACTAATTGGAAGACACAGCTCAGAAAAAGAAAGGAAGATGGACAAAAAGGTTCACCTATGCATTATTAAATCCTACCATAAATAACACCAAACAAATTTACAATAGTGAAAATTGTGTCATTATGCATATGTAACTAGAATTCATACATCTCAAACCTAAAATGTAGGAAATGAAATTAATAGTCAACCTTCAGCAGTGAGATTGGTAATAAAAATAAGTATTTCATGGTGTACCCGAATTCAGAGGAATAAAAAATAAAAACACAAGTATTTCAAACAAGACATGAGAAGCAAGATGGTAGGGAACCAAATGCTAACAACCAGACTTCCCTTCTCTAATCTTTGGTCTTTTGTTGTGACAGTTTTATGTTAGAAGGTTATATACTTTTGATAAATATATTGGGAAGTAAATGGGATTGGTACTTGAAGCTCAGGGGTCTACTGATCTAAATTTGAGACACACTACATTACAGAATAAATCCTGTGATTTGGGGTGATCATTTGGGGCCAGCTTGATCACAAACACAAATGTGAATGCAGGCACAGGAGGTGGGAAATCTAGATAATGCAGAATATTTTATCTCTATCTATAATCATTAAAGCGAAACTTCATAATACTTTATCATAGAGTAAGATCCACCAAAAATCAAACCTGTGACAATCCATATGTCCAAAGAATATAAGATAAGAGATCTAGGAGAAAGGAATTACTTGTACATGGACAATCTAATAAGATACAGTTGCTAAATTCTGACAGAGATAATGCTAGGGGATACAGGTTAAGGGTGAAAAAGATGCAGATGACAAAAAGGACAAAGTTTGTTTAGAGAACAGCACCTGTCCAAGTGAACAAATATGCATGGCTCATGGAAAGGAGTAAACTATAAGCCCCCTTTAAAAACAAAACAAAACAAAACAAACATCCCCAGTTCCTCTGTAAGGTCATATACTACGGATATTCCTAGAATTAACATACTACTAGCCTGCGGCATATAAGTAATTCACTTATGGGGAATGGGGAAATATCTCATGTGCAGAAGAAATTATTCAGGGCATTAATTAAACTTAAGTTACAAATGCTAGCGAAAAATGTCAAGAACTCTGAAAGGCCTGAGATTTTATTCTCTTTGCCAGCTAACAAGTTAGCCTGCTACAATTTCATGGATATTGCCAAAAGACACTAGATTTCTATGTCAGAGACAAAAGACTTTATTACTCAAGGTATTCGGCAAGCAACATAAGCTTATTTTCATCTCTTTCTTTTGTGCTTCAAGTCCTAAAGAGGCAATATGGACAGGCTAAAGATAGAGGCTAAGCACACAGTGGGACTGCATCATAGCTAAGGAACCTCAAAATTTATGAAGCTCAATCTTGTAAGGGGGTTACTAGCAAACCTGCCCATTCTTTGCCACTAGTGGTGGACAGGAAGAGCATTTTCCTGAAGAGCAAACAAATCTGTTCTCTCCCTTGGAGGATGACACAAGCTCTGTCTTCCAAGCTGTTTCCTACACAAACACCCTCGAAAAGATAGTCCATAGCAAAAGCTGTCAACGCCTTTGCTCAGACACATGTGGAAATGTAATTCATGGAGAACTGTCTTCCAGCAAAGATAAACTAAGTTTCATATATTCTTTATGCTGCTGTTTAACCAAGTAATTCATTCTGACTAGTTTTTAAAGAATCAAAACAGTAATACAGGAATTTTAGCTTTTCCTTAAAGAACTAAAGTAGTATGTATTATCACACTAAACAAATGTGTCCATGTGCATTTTATTATTATTATTTTTTTAGGATTTTGTTTATTAATTTGACAGACAGAGATCACAAGCAGGCAGAGAGGCAGGCAGAGAGAGAGGAAGGGAAGCAGGCTCCCTGCCAAGCAGAGAGCCTGAGGCGGGGCTCAATCCCAGGACCCTGGGATCACGACCTGAGCCAAAGGCAGAGGCTTTAACCCACTGAGCCACCCAGGCACCCCTGCATGTGCATTTTATTAAAATTATTTAACATGACATAGGATGAGTAAAACTTTTGGCTTTAACAGAACATTCACCTTAATGACAAATGCCATTTTCAAGGGTTCCTCACAATGGTACCGTGCGAGGAAACTAAATGCTCACAAGGCCTAATCCTTCATCAAGTCAAAGGTAAGTAGGTTAGACACACTTTATTAGCCAAGCAAATACCAATTTTCTTCACATAGTAAGAATTTTTTTTTACCTTTATTGAGGAATAACTGTGATGATTTGATATATATACACATTGCAGAATGATAAACAAGATTAATACAATTAACATACTCATCACTTCATATAATTAACATAAGTAACTTTTTTTTTTTTTTAAGATAACCACTTAAAAGAACACTTATTCCTCCTGGCATAGCAGAGGATTCAACCTCTTAAAAACATTTAAAAGATAAAATTTTCATGAATTTGTCTTCTGATGTAATGACTCACTACAAAATATTAAGGTCATGGGAAGGACAGGTTTACATAAAAACATAAACTTTGAGAATATGTTTCAAACATAACCATTGAAATAAACAACAACAAAAAAAACCAATTTTTTAAAATCACTTTTTTTTTTTTTTTTAACGAAAGACTTCATGAGCTGCCTTAGCTTCAAAACCTTTATTCTGATTCTTCAAAACTGGAAGAAAAAAAAAAAGAGTGTGAAGTTTAATATATGACCATACCTCTCCTAGAGCTTCATATCTTTTCTGGTTCCATCTGTGCAAATCTTCTTGGTAGTTAAAAACAAACGGTTCCCCAGTTTTTATGTGTCTTAACTGTCCCTCTAGAAGATAAACAAACAGTATTGCTATGATTCAGAGTATATTTATAATAATATGAAAAATAAATAACATCTGATAAAAATTTAAAATAACTTTCTCAGAAGTTTCATTTTTTTCTTTGCATTTTTCCTTCAAATATCAACATGATGCAAACATCTAAGTACTATAAAAGAATGCCCTCAACTACTCAAATGCTGTGTCTTTTGACTTTCATTTCTCTAAAGCAAATAAACACTTGAGGGCCTATAATATATAAGGATCATGGCTAGCTACAGCTGTGAACAAGGTCTCAGTGTCTAAGCTTAGAGGTTAGAGGAGGAGTAAAAGCATAAATATCCAAAAGTTAAGCAACTTTTTAGGAAGGTAAACAAGAATGAAGTTAAGTCATCAATCTAAAAACTGCCACAGGCAACTCATGTAGATAATAAAGACTACAATGAGTTTGGAAAAATGGAAGAGGAAGACCCTTATAGGTTAGAATAGTTTCAGAGGTTCCAGGGAGATTTCTCAACTAGGCCTAAAGTATGGTTAAGATTTCAAATGAACACTGGAGAAAAGCAGGGAGAAAAGCAGTGAGCCAAGATCGATTTGGACTGTCAAGTCAGACACATTCAATTCAGAGATTTTACTGATAATAACTTTGCTAATAATAACAAGGCAATAAGCAATCAAGAGGCATAGGCAAAGAAAAGAAGAAGAGTCTGGGACAGCCCAGGCATTTCCTCCCAGGTCCTTCGCTCTCACTGGCAGCACTCTCGGGTCCAGAACAGGTAAAGTCTCAATGTGAGGCGAAAAGGTTACCTCATATATTGGTGAGCATTTGGTTACAAAATACTTCAGTTTTATGTGTCAGAGAGTGGTACTGCTTCTGTGATATCCTTCAGAGAAATATACTTCAAATATCCACAGATTATGCTTGTTTACCATAAGCAAACCGAAACCAGTCACCCGCTCAAGGTATTCTATAGATAAACACTCTGCTCATAGCAAACATTGGTCTATATTCACTAAAAGATTACATTATCAGGATGTTTTTTAAGGAGAAAAGACCAGGCCACCTGTGTTCTTTCTGTCCCAGAAGTGTGCTGCTGGTGATCAGGAGAGAGACCACAGGCCAATTACTTTAACCTATTCTCCCCTGCCTCTACCTAGCAATTTAGACAAAAATGTGAAAAATGGACAAAACGTTCAAGTAATAGTGAACAATCCATTTTAACAGAAACAAAACGAAGTACTGAGCCAAACTGCAGAACACTGGTGAACATGTTGGGATCAAAAAGCAGAAGACTCCAACTACTGGATCTGGACTTTATGCTAAGAGCAGTGAGGCACAAGAAAGGGTTTAGAGACCAAAGAGGGACATGACATGCAGAGTGAAACTTAGTATTTGATTTTTATTCAATGAGGGCAGGAGTGGACAGAAAGTTGAAAGAAATGTATGGCACTAAAACTGAACCCTGGAAAAATACTACTTCAAATAAAACTACTTCACTATTTTTATGAATCAATTTCACCACATATAAAACTGCCTTTTTAAATATGTAAAACAAGGGCTAATCCTTATTTGTAAAGTTTTTAATACTCTCAACATGAGACACTGTGTTGGATCACTACATAGAACACTCTTTTTTGGGTTCTTTAGGAAAATGGGACCTATTAAAATAGCCACCTATTACCACTACTGTTAAAAGTGAAAAGGTTAAGAGGCAAAGAAAGTGAGCACTCTTACCCAGAAAAATATCTGGATCACTTAGGTTATATTATTATTTGTAAATATGGCATTTATCAAAGGTTTGGACAATCACTCCAGTGACTGTCAAAGGTCTGATTTAGGCCATTTTAGCTTAGGGTCCCCTAAAATCAGCTATAAAGTTTCACATGTATACCTAAAATGTGTGCTATTCTGGGAAATGTATCCATATAGTTTATCAGATTTGTTATGGAGTCCAGGACCTCAAAGAGGCTATCACTTGCCTAAATGAATTAATAAGTTCAAAGTATTTAGAATACTTGCTGGCCATGTATTAAGAGTTCAATAAATGTCAGGTACTATAGAAGACGATATTCAAACTCAAACGGTCTGCCACAAGTTCAATTACTTTTTCTAGTGATCTAAAAGTGTGCTCTCTCATAATACTGCACCAGAGCAGAGGGAGTATAGGTGAGGGTAAAAGGGGAAAAGCCTTCAACTTCTTCATCAGCAAGGACATTTGAGCTGGGCCTTATACAATTACAGCAATGGGAAACACAAGACGTATTTGAAAAGGCACAGAAGGGGTGCCTGGGTGGCTCAGTGGGTTAAGCCTCTGCCTTGGGCTCAGGTCATCATCTCAGGGTCCTGGGATCAAATCCTACATCAGGCTCTCTGCTCAGCAGGGAGCCTGCTTCTTCCTCTCTCTTTCTACCTGCCTCTCTGCCTACTTGTGATCTCTCTTTGTCAAATAAATAAATAAAATCTTAAAAAAAAAAAAAGGCACAGTGATTTTAAAGAATAAGGTATAAATCTGATGGAGATAAAAACAATCTCTTCCCCTTTGTTACAAATTGTCAGGCTTAGAATAAAATTTGTATCCAAATTCTTCTTTTATCCAACTAACTACTTTAAAATCCTTTAGGAAAAATTAGAAATTTCTTCAATCAGGTAATGAAAGTTTAATTTCAAACCTTTTGTAAGAGTTCTTGTTATCATAAAGTTAAAAAAAAAGTCCCAAAAGACACTAAGTTAGAATTGCCTTTTTAGGGGTTTAGTATTGAGACCTAGTTTCCTATCTCCAAATCCTCACCTCTTTGAAAAAATATTCACCATTAACCCAAATTCAAAGGTGAACCGTATCAAGCTAAAAACAGATCCTTAAAAGTGACATTCTCTCCTTAGAATTCAAGCATTTCTCCTTAATACTGTTAGTCTGTGTTTATGCAAGACAATGTCCAAGATACTTATAAAATAAATGGTAGGCGTGTGCAAGGATGCACGCACATTTGAGGCATATATACATAAAAAGGCGTATGTGTATGCAAAGGTATAGGTATCACATAAGTGTGAATGTAAGGTAAGTACATTCAAGGGTGTAGAAGTGAGTGAAAAGATGTCTGTATGTATCTGATAAGAAAGGGAAAGATAAAAGTTTATTACTTCTGGAGCACCTGGCTAGCTAGGGTGGTAAAACAAACAATTACTACTCATATATATCTTGGCATTAAGATATCCTTTATTAAAAGCATGAAAATTAACATCAGATAAGAGATCAAAGTTTCCAATATCATGTTTAAAATCAATTAATCTTCTAGTACACAGAGACTGTCACTATAAATCTTGACACATGTAAGTGTTATCATTAAGGGATATCCACTACCATAATGGTAACAAATCACCAATTTAGTTGATGTGGATCAACAAACAGAAAGCTACAACTTAAACTCTACCAAGCCTATAACACTAGTACTCTTCAAATGTTTAATAGTATGTTATTAATTCAATCAATCATAATTCTTTGTTCTAGAAACATCCTTGTAACTTATGGTATGTTCTTCCAAACCCCAAGTGGAAAGTCTTTCTTGTTCAGAATTTAATTAATAAATTTTAAAATAGGCAGGTTGCCTGGGTGGCTCATTCAGTTAAACATCAGCCTTTGGCTCAGATCATGATCTTGGGGTTCTGGGATGGAGCCCCATACCAGGCTCTCTGCTCAGCAGAGAAACTGCTTCTCCCTCTCTGTCTCTCTATCTCTCATTCTTACTCTCACTCTTTCTCAAATAAATAATCTTAAAAAAAAAATAGAATAAATTTTAAAATAAGGATGTTCCCTGAAAAAAATCATGGAAAACTGAGTATCAGGCTTTAAAATATCATCATAGATGATAACTGCTAGCCATTTCCTTTTAAATACGTGAAAAAGTAGTATCTTTCTACATAATATAATTGGAGTTCCAATTGGATGCCTGAGAGTTGAAAGCTCTGGGCTGAAATGCGTTAAGTCACATCAAATTCATGTCCATTGGTTTAAGTGATTTAACAATTACAGAAAATTACAATTTGGTTCTTTTCCTTGAGTGAAAAATTTTACCATGAAGGGGTAAGTCATTATTTCTTAAATGAAATACATAAAACATTCTAACTGGCAAATAAAAATAGTGAATAATATCTGTCCTATGATTCTATTAGCATGATAAATAAATCTTGTATGTAGCAAACACTTACTTTCATTAAAAGCATATTCAAATCCTTCCAGGGTATCAGGAAAATCAAGAGGTGGTTCATCTTTTTTCATTAGTTCATCCAAATCAATCCTAGATAATAAATCTAGAAAAGAATATGAAATGCATTAACATTCATTTTCTTAATAAGTTATACTTTAATAACAAAGTTAATAATAGAGATTGTATTTTTGATTATTTTAAGTATCCTTTTGTTCTACTAGATTACTTTATACGAGTTGCCTTATTGATAATATTTTTAAAATTTTAAGTTCCCCAAGTGCTATATCATGACAATATCAAAAGCACTTTCAAAATCATCAATTCCCACAACAATCACAATTTTAGACCCTATGTACCACTGTAGTAAATTATTAACTTCTTCTCCTCAAAATATTCAGCTATTAATTTGTATCTCACTAACCTCCATCCATAGTTTCAAAAGTTTCAGGTCATTTAAATAGTCACTAAATCTTATATAAAGATGAAACTACCATTTATGAATAAGGAAACTTACAAATTTAAATGGGGTAATATAGCACATTATTCCATTTTATAGGAAAAAATCACAATATTAAAATACAACATGCTAACTGGAGAAAATGTGGTTAACACAAAGCAGTTTTTATTCTTCATACCATTTGATTTCCATACCATAAAAATACTCTCAATAAAGATTTTTAAATAAATAAATAAATTTTTAAATAAATATTAAATTTAAATATTTTAAATAAACAAAGTATTTTGAAATAATTCTGGAGTTATAGAAATGTTGAAAGAAAATACAGATAGTGCATTTATATCCTCTATCCAGTTTCCCCTACTGTTAACACCTAAAAAACAGGTATCAAGTCAGGAAATGGGTGGAGGACATAAGCAGACACTTCTCCAAAGAAGACATACAAATGGCTAATAGACACATGAAAAAGTGTTTATCATCATTAGCCATTAGGGTAATTCAAATCAAAACCACATTGAGATATCACCTTACACCAGTCAGAATGGCCAGAATTAACAGGGCAAGAAACAACAAATGTTGGAGAAGTTGTGGAGAAAAGGGAACCCTCATACATCGTTGGTGGGAATGCAAACTGGTACAGCCACTTTGGAAAACAGTGTGGAGGTTCCTCAAAAAATTAAAAATAGAGCTACCCTATGACCTGGCAATTGCACTACTGGGTATTTACCCCAAAGATACAGATGTAGTGAAAAGAAGGGCTATATGCACCCCATGTTCATAGCAGCAATGTCCACAATAGCCAAAATGTGGAAAAATCCAGATGCCCTTCCACAGATGAATGAATAAAGAAGATGGGGGTCCATATACATAATGGAGTATTACTCAGCCATCAAAAAGGATGAATACCCAACTTTTGCATCAACATGGATAGGACTGGAGGAGAGTATGTTGAGTGAAATAAGTCAAGCAGAGAGAAAGTCAATCATCATATGGTTTCACTTACTTGGGGAACATAAGGAATAGTGCGGGAGGACATTAGGAGAAGGGAAAAACAAAGAGGGAGAAATCAGAGTGGGAGACGAACCATGATAGACTGTGGACTCCAGGAAACAAACGGAGGATTTCAGAAGGGAGGGAGGTGGGGGGATGGATGAACCTGCTTATGGGTATTAAGAAGGGCACAGATTCCATGGAGCACTGGGTGTTATGAGCAAACAATGAATTATGGAACACTCTATCAAACACTAATGATATACTATACGGTGACTAACATAACACAATAAAAAAATAATTTTAAAAAATTAAACAAAATAAAAATAAAACATCCCACACTACCAGGGTACATTTGTGAAAGTGAAGAAACCAACATCTGTACGTCCCTATTAACTAAGCCCAGAAATTATTCATCTGTTTTCCCATTAAGGTCCATTTTCCATTCCAGGATCCCATCCAGAACATCATCCCACATAGAGTTGTCATGTCTATCAGTCTCCTCTGGCCTGTGACAGATTCCACTCTTTGTCTCTTTTCTATGATCATGACTCTTTTGGGGAATATTGGTTAGGTATTTTGCAGAATGACCTTCAAATTAGGTGTATCTGATTTTTTTTTTTCATTTTGTGATTAGATTAGGGTTACAGGTTTTTAAAAGAATACCACAGAGGTAAACTGCCCCGCTTATCACATCATATCAAAGGGAACATGATATCCATGGTATATCACTGGGGATGTTAATCTCCATCAGCTGGCTAAGGCAGTGTCTGCCAGACTTCTCAACTATGATCCCTATTTTTTCCCTTTCTATAATCTATTTCTTGTAAGTGAGTAAGGCTAGCCCACATTCAAGGAAGAAAAGTAGAACTGTGCTCTGCCTTGTGGAACAAAGAATATCTACATACATTATTTGTAATTCTTCTATATGAATTTTTGTCTCTCTTCCTCCATTTACACATTTATTCAATCTTATATCAGTACAGAATCAGGGATATTTATTATATAATTTGGGTTATAATAAATACTACATCATTTATTTTGTTGCTCAAATTGTTCCAGCAATAGCCATGGCTATAAGCTCTTCCAGCTGGCTCCTGTAACTGTTTGACATGCTCTTATTTTTTGTTTTTTAAATATTTCCCTATTTTGTGTTACCACAAAATGCTTGTTCTAGGCTTCTCTTTTCCGCAGGCTAGAATCAGTCTGTCAAAAATATTTAATGAACTTTTAGGCTCTTATTACAGAATGAGGCAAAAATTCTCACTATATGTCATCAGAGTTATATCAGAACTCAAAAAAACAAAAAGACAAACTTCAAATTTATTGTTCCAAAGAAAAGATATTTTTTAAAAAGTTTAGGTTTCGGTGGCTCAGTGGGTTAAGCCTCTGCCTTTGGCTCAGGTCATGATCTCAGTGTCCTGGGATCAAGCCCCACATTGGGCTCTCTGCTCAGCAGAGAGCCTGCTTTCCCCTCTCTCTCTGCCTGCCTCTCTGCCTACTTGTGATATTTCTCTCTCTGTCAAATAAATAAATAAAATCTTAAAAAAAAAAAGTTCAGGTTTCGAGATTTTGCATTCTAACTCAAGTTCCCAAAGAGAAACCAGCTCCTAGGATACGTAATAAAGTAAACCAGTCCCTTTTCCTACAAAGAATTATCTCAGAAGAAACACTTTATTTCTGTCTTACAGAAATACAACAAATCCATCTGTATGGAACATCAAAATATGCCAAAGAAAAAAGTAGTTTTTCTACCTCCAGTCTCTAGTCTCTTTCTGTAGGACATAAAGATAAGCCATCAAAAAAATAATTTTTTAGTACTCTTCAAACTGCCACACCAAATAAAACTCGACTCACATAAAAATACAGCATCTTCAAAATTCAAAAATAAAAAATGTTTGCAAATTCTCCGGTAAAATGGAAATGTCACATAATATGCATACTGGGCTAACAAAGGGATACAGGCCGACAAATTTCTAATTCATTAGTGAATATCTGAACACCATGTATGTCTGTGCAAAACAGAGCAAAACAGAAGATTTTTTAATAGCAAAAATGGCTTGGAGTGGCTTGAAAATTCTCTTTCCAATGAGCTGAGGTTCCTTCATTATAGTCATTTACAGTTCAAACTTAGAAACCTTTTAATCAGATCCACAGCAACCATCTAACTTTTAAGCAGATATATTATGTCTAACAGCCGCTTTGTCTATCAGTTCAGATCATAAAATGCCACCTAACATCTACATACCAATTTAAGGTTTTCACATACTTTATCTCACTTGATCGTCACAACCCTATAGAACAGAAGCATGTATTATCACCTTCACCGTCTTTCAGATGAAAAAATGAGCTCAGAGAGGAAAAATGGCTTGTCCAAAATTATACCTTAATAGTACAGTGGGATTAATGGAATAGATGTAGTTTCCAATACCTAACTCAATGCTCTTTCAAAATCACCATACTTACTCTATGTGCCATATCAACCCTAAAATATTCTAACCCCGCTCTTCCTTACCTTATAAAGAATAAAGTTAGGAATATAGAAATATGCCTTTGCCTTGCTTGAAATGTTCCTAGGAAGGACAAAATGAAAACTAAATAAATAGGCATTCCTTAAACTTCTCTTCTATTAACAAAGGAACCAGATATAGATAGTTTATTTCATTAGCACTGAGAAGACATGCAGAAAGAAAATGTCAGAAATTACTTTTTCTGCTTTTTAAAAAGAAAGCAATACTATAAGTTGCATTTTACATAGAGACTGAGTTTCAAAGGCAGTGGATTAGGCAAATATCAAGTATAATAAAACATTTCCATTAAAAATACCTTCATTCACCTATAAAATACAGTACGACTGAATCCATATAATTTAAATATGCATCAGATGTAACACAAGTGTTTTTTCTAAAACATGCCTCTGGTAATTAAAGTGACTCAGCAACTAGAATTCTAAACTTCAACTAGGCATATGCAATACTTGGATAAAAATACCACTTGATACCCAAAGAAATGAAAACAGAGGCTTAAACAGATTATTTGTACACTCATGTTCATAGCAGCATTATTCACAATAGCCAAGAAACAACTCAAGTGTCCAAAGACAGAGGAATGGTGTGATGGTTAATTTTATGTGTCAACTTAACCAAGCCATGCCGTGCCCAGATATTTGGTTAAACTTTCCTCTGAGTGTGCCTGCGAAGGTGTTTCGGGATGAGACTGACATTTGAATCTGGATGAATATGTATATGATACTTTCAAACAATTCTGGAAAACTAACATAATGAAATTGGTTGGTTGCTCCTAAGGTCACTGGACAACGAAGTGGAAAAAATAGACAAATTCAGAATTCAAATTCTCAGCTCAAGCACATCATAAATAACCTCTAATTTTCTAAGTGTGTCCTGAAGGTAACTCTGATCTCTTGTAGCTGAAGGGCTGAGATTGTTAAAAATCAAACACAGAAGCTCATCCTGCAACCAGCTGCATTATAATGCAAGCAGAACTACCAGCCTCACAGGTGTCCACTGTTAAAGAGAGGACAGTGACTGGAAAAGAATGGGGTCCTGCAAATTGGAATGGAATGCAGTTGAGGACAATGACTCTCTAAATTCTAACCATTCTTTGTCAGAGGAAGCTTTCCCACCCTCAGTAGAAGCAGTCTCTCTACCTTAGTCTGGGAAAATTAAACCTTTGTTTAAGGAAACTGTCTTGCCCTCCCCTGAGGCCGTTGCCAGGCAAGACAAAGCTGATTCTTGGGGCACCTGGGTGGCTAGGTGGGTTAAGCGTCTAATTTCATTCAGCTCAGGTCATGATATCAGGGTCCTGTGATCAAGTCTCACATCGAGCTCCCTGCTCAGAGGGCAGTCTTCTCCCTCTGTCTCTTCCCCTCCCCCTTGCTTGTTCTTTCTCTCTCTCTCTCCCCCTCAATAAATAAATAAATAAGCTGATTCTCTTCAGGACCCACAGCCCAAAGCCCTCTTTGCATCTAGGCTTTCAACTACACTGCAGTCATAGCAGGCCACTAAAGGTGAGGTATAAAGTGTGACTCATAAGGAGGTACACAACACCCAGCACAACAAAAGAACTACCTGGTTTTTCTAATTTATACAGATAGAAATCCAGAGAACATGTGTGGGAATAAATATTAAGGGTATGGAACAATGGAAGGTCATGGACCTGGAAGGAACTGGATTAAAAAACTGGTACCAAAAAAATCTGGGAAAGAGTTATGTGAGTAAGTCCCCTCTGAAAAGGAAAAAGAAGTGAAAGATATCTGTGTCCCAAATTAACGCTCACCAAAAGGTGACCTCAAAAGAGTAAGATATTAATAATCAAGTGGATAAGATGACTCCTGTGGAGACCAGTCAACCTCTCTCCCCAGCCACCCCTGTCATTGCCCAATGGGCTCATGAACAAAGTGGTCATGGTGGCAGAGATGGTTGTTATGCATGGGCTTATCAGTATGAACTTACACTCACCAAAGCCAACCTGGCCACAGCCATTACTGATTGTCCAATCTGCCAGCAGGAAAGGACACCACTTAGTCGCCAATACGGCATCATTCCTGTAAGTGATCAGTCAGCTACCTGGTCACAGTGGATTACATCAGACCACTTCCATCAGGAAAGAAGCAACCTTTTGTTCTTACTGGAGTAGACACTTTCTCTGGATACTATTTGTCTTTCCCACATGTAATACTTCTACTGTATCTACTGCTCGTGGAGTTACAGAATGCCTTATCTACCATCATGGTATTCCACAAAGCATTGCTTCTGATCAAGGAACTTACTTCACAGCAAAAGAACTGCAGCAATGGTCCCATGCTCATGAAATTCAATGGTCTTACCATTTTCCCCACTATCCTGAAACAGCTAGTTTGAGAGAATGGTGAAATGGCCTTTTGAAGATTATGCTGCCAGCAAGGTGATAGAACCTTGCTGGGCTGAGCAAGATTCTTCAGAAAGCTGTACATACTCAGAATCAGTGTCCAATATATGGTGCTATTTTTACCATAGCCATAATTTACAGGTCTAAAAATAAAGGGATAAAATGGGAGTATCACCATTCACTATCACCCCTAGTGAACAAGGAAAGAATGTCCATTTTCTCACTATTCTCATTCAACAGAGTATTAGGAATCCTAGTAAGTACAAAAAGGGCAAGAAAGGGAATAAAAGGCATACTGTCCAATGTGCAAATGACATGATGGTTTACACAGAAAATATCAAGGAATCTACTCCCAAAATTCCTTGAACTATTAAATGACTTTAGGAAATTTGTAAAAACACGTAGGAAACACATAAAACTTGATTATATTTCCATAAATTATCAGTTAATATGTGGCAACTGAAATTAAGAACACAACACTGTTTACAATCACTCTAAATAATTAAATCTTAGGGGGTGCCTGGGTGGCTCAGTTGGTTATGCGACTGCCTTCGGCTCAGGTCATGATCCTGGAGTCCTGGGATCGAGTCCCATATCAGACTCCCTGCTCGGCAGGGAGTGTGCTTCTCCCGCTGACCTCTCTCCTCGCATGCTCTCTCTCTCTCTCTCAAATAAATAAATAAAATCATTTTAAAAAAATTTAAAAAAATAGTTAAATCTTAGGTATAAATCTAAGAACAAATGTTTACAACTTACATGTTGAAAATTACAAAATGCTCATGAAGGACACTGAAGATTTAAATAAATGAGAGACATAACAGGTCATGGACTGAAAGATGCAATAAAGATGTCAATTGTCACCATATTCATCTATAGGTTTAAATATAATTCTTATCAAAATCTCAGTATATGTTTTTGCAGATATAATTTTACTCTAAAATTTATATGGAAGAGCAAACAACCTAGAATAGCTAATAGCTAAACAATTTTGAAAAGGAGTAAAATGGGAAGAATCATTCTATTCATGTTTAAGATATACTAGTAATCAACTGAGTGTGATTATTAATGAAGATATAGACACAGATCCATGGAGCAAAAGAAAGAACCCAAAATAAGGCCACCCAAACACCCAAATACAACCAATTCATTTTTGACAAAGATGGAAGAAGTAATTCCATGTTGGAAAGACAGTCCTTTTCACAAATGGTGCTGGTGCAAATAGACATTAACAGGCCCCCCAAAACCAACCAACCAACCAAACACCCACCTTGACTTAGATCTCCTACCTTCTATAAAAATTAACTCAAAATGTATCATAATGTAAAATCTAAAATTATAAAACTTTTAGAAGAAAACACAGGAGAAAATCTTCACAAACCAGGGTTAGGCAAAGGATGCACAGGCATGGCATTAAAAGCATAATCCATAAAAGTTAAAACTGATAAGTAGACTTCTCTAAAGATAGTTTAATTCAGTTTGACAATTTGTTCTAAATATACTTTGCTATGCACTGTCACTTTATTTTCTATTATTTCCAATTTAACTCCTTCATTAATTGTTAGAAGCTCATGTGTACCAGGCTTTTTATTCCTATACTACCAATTAATTAAAAGATTCAGAGAAGCTAAGTAGCTAGTTCATGGTAAGCAGAGAAACCTGAGTTTGAATCCGGGCAATTTCACCTTTAGACCCTATCCATACTCTTTGTACATACATCTGGTAGCTCTAAAATCCAGAAAACCTATGCAAACTCTTATATATTGCTTGAGAAAGTGTAAATTGGAACGACTATTTGGAAAATGTAATTTTCACATTATCAAGTAAGGCTGAAGATGCACAAAAAATCTATCTAGGAAACCCAGTGAGTCTATTTAGAAGGAAATACACACATTCCTTCACCTCTCTCCTAAATCAGCCATTATTTTGAGAGTGCTAGTCATTTCCAGCAGCATACAAGCATACACTAAAACCTTCTACAGAATTTTCACAGCTTTCTCCAATTCCTCTCTTTCCATTTTCTATGGAAACTCTCCCATGTAGCTTTCATTTCCACCAATTCATGAAAACAGCTCTTTGTGATGATCACCAATGACCTCCACACCATCAAATCTAAAAGTAATTTCTCAGTCCTCGTCTAACCTGAATCATTATCATGACTGAATGAATTACTCCCATTTTCTTCATTTGGCATTCAGGATCTCTCTCTTGCTCTTGGTTCTCAGACTATTTTACTAGAAATCCATTTTCAGCTTCTTTTGCTGGTTCCTCTTCATCTTCCTGACCCTAGAGTTGAGATGCATCAGGGCTCAATCTACAGATCTCTTCTTTTCTGTCTATAATGACATCCCTGGTGATCTCAATTAGGAGCTCTGGTCCTTTAAATATTACCTCCATGCTAATGATTCCTAAAATTTTTTTATCTCTAACCCAAATGCTCTCCCAAACTCCATACTCAACTTCTTTACCTTCCCATTTAAGTGACATCTCAGTTTAATATTTAATATGTCTAAAACCTAACTCTTGCTTTCCACCATTATCACCATAACTTGATTTTCACAGTTTTTTAAATCTAATACATAGCATCTATCTTAGAGCTTTTTAGGCCAAGAACCTTCAAATTTTTCTTGATTTCTCCTCTAACATCCCATGTCTAATCCAACAGAAAATCATGTAATCTCTTCCTTCAAAACATAAACAGAATCTGTCATCATCCTCTTTTGTTACCACCCTAATCCAACACAACATCATCTCTCACATTTGTCAGGAGATAGCAATGCTCTTAGCCATTTCCCATATTTGAGGGTAAGGGCTAGTTACACCATCCCCTTGACAGTACATCAGCTCTAAAAGCAGGGACATGATGAGGCAAATTGTGAGCTAAGAAACTGGCTGTGTTGTCATATATATGCTTCAGGCTTTCATGAAAAGAGATAAAAGGTAGAAGGAGAGATTCTTGAGGTATCTTTATCATCCAGCCTCGTAAAACAGGACAGGACAGCAGTGAGGGATTCAGAAAAATGGCTGCAATCAAGATGGTCTGTGGCATTACCTGCAAAGCACCGTAGAGACCACAAAGACTCTACATTGAACAAGTAAAGAGACTCATTATCTGGCATAGTTGGCATCTCAACTTTAAGAAAATCCATTGAAGAGATCTTTCAGTTCAACAAAGCACACTTATTTTAGGAGTAAACTTCTTTTAGACTACAGACTTAAAAAAGTCTAGAACTCAAAATTCCCAAAGAATGTCTAGGGTAAATTCCCTCCAAGGTGTTAACATGGAGAGCCTTTCAAAAAATACCCCTAATTAATGCCACAAAGATAGAATACTGGATTATTAGGCAGATCATTATCCTAGCCTAGCATGACATTCTGATCAAAAAAAAATATGATAAAGGCAATAGTCTTAACTCAAGAGATCTAGTGTTAGTTTTAGCATTAAATATACAACTTTGGATAAGAAAAGGGTTATGAATTCTTAGTTATAAAATTACATGATTTTATGATTTATTTACTGACTATATACTCCATCTCAGATACTGAAACAGTTGTTAATCCATTACAGATGGATTAAAAACTCACTTTCTTATTTTAGAATTGAAATGAATGGAAGATCAACTAAATATTCCTATGCCTTCATTAGGCACAATGAAAATACCCTGAAAAAGCAAAATAAGTATGTACCTTTCAGTGCTGTAGTCTTTTCTTTTTCATCTGGACCTCCCTGCTGGATTTGTGCCATGCTTATCCAAATTGGCAACAAAATTAAAGAGCTCAAGGAAATAGACATCAATCTTCAGAAGACAGTCTAGAATGAATGAAAGCAATAAATTAAGCTCTACTCAATCCTACCTACTCCATGAGAACTTCCTAGATCCTCCCAGTTGGGATTAATCTCTCTATTCTGATTTCCCACTGCACTTTGTTGATGCCTATACCATAGTACTTATCATAGCCTGCCTTGCATTATAGTTATTTATGTATTTGTCTGGGTCAGCTAACAGATTACAAGCCCCAGGATAGAGGTATCAACTTTTTGTCATCTTTATATCTCTCATGTCACCAAACACAGATACCGAAAGTCACTGACTAAACTCCCTATTTAAGTTTAGTTCTCTATCATCTAATTTTTTTTTTTTAAATATCTTCAGGTAGTTCCAAAAGCCTGAAATTTCTTTTAAAATAAACTATAAGCATGTGCCAGTTACAAGATCATAATGTCTTCCTCCCAGAAAAGACAGTCAGAAGGAGAAAGATAAATAAAGAACTTAAGAGTTACATAAAGCAACTCTAAGTTACCTCTAGTATAATTCAAAATACAACTTTAAGGGAAAAAAATTAGCCCTTTCAAAAATGAAACGATGCCAAATTCAATATCTGGAAGCCATACTCTATAAATGGTACCCCAGTAAAAAAATCAGTATTCCTAAAGTTTAAAAGACAGAAATGCAACACATACAATAGAAAAAAATTAAACTAATTTAGTCAATCCATGACTGTTAATGAAATTATATAAAAACCACATTCATGATCACAATAAACGAGACTGAACATTCCTCTGATCGAGGAACCCAATTTATTTGCTATCCACAAAACAAAGTTCAGTTTCCATTCAGAGGGATATTTTATAATTATCTTTACAAACTGAGGCATTTTCATAATCAAGAGTATAGCAGAAAATACTTTTAAAAAATGAATACGGAGGGGCGCCTGGATGCTTCAGTTGGTTAAGCATCTGCCTTTGGCTTAGGTCATGATCCTAGGGTCCTGGGCTCTCTGTTCAGCATGGAGCTTGCCTCTCCCTCTCCCTCTGCCTGCCACTCTGCCTACCTGTGCTATTTCTCTCTCTCTCTCTCTCTGCCAAATAAATAAATAAAATTAAAAAAAAAAAAAAAAACCTAATACTGAAATTTTAAACCATGAATGTTCCAAACAGTCATAAATCATATTGCCCTTATCTCAATTCTAACTGTACGTTTGGGAGGTGGTATAAGAGGAAAGACCTTCTGGCTTCACCATTAACTACACGTACCCTTGGAAAATTATTTAACTTCTCTGTCCCTTATTTTCAAATATGAAAAATGGCAATGATAACCATGTTTCCCTCATATTGTTACAGTGAGGCTAAATGTAAAATATTTTGTATAGTACCTGATGTGTATAATTAAGTGCTCAATGTATGCTGGCTTATATATTTTTTAATTGTTATAAATGTATCACAGCTTCATCATTTAATAATAGCTCTGTGGCCAGGGACAAGACACTTAATATCCAAAATCTTAGTTTACTCATTTATAAAATGTAGCTCAAGTAATAGTGGTTGAGAATTAGTATTATAGTAGGTATGTATAGCTCATTATTGCTAGTACTAGCAGTAATGCTGTTTGTCAATGGAGGCTTCCTAATATGAATAACTAGAATATGAGAATATTTTTGACTGGGAAGGCATTCTCACTTAACAGGAAAGAAGTTGTTTCTTCTGTGAACAAGTAACTGAAAACTCTATAAAAGTACATGACAAAAATGTGTCTACATTACTTCAAGAAACTATAGCAGTTTGTATGGTAGGTGATGTATAAGACAGCAGGGTGCAGTGGTGAGTTAAAAGAACAAGGTCACGGCCCAGGTGGTAGCTTAACTCTCTAGCTACCAAAACAAATTATCAAATAGCTACTTATAAAATATATAAGACCTAGACTGATAATTACATCACATAAAAAAAATAGTTCTAAAGTTTTTCTATTCATATGCAGGAATCAGTCTTATCTGTCAAGTCCAACAAGTTTGTGTACAGGTTTTACCAAGCAACTCCCTATTATTCACCATCCTATAGCAGAAATTGAAGAGAAATATTCATAATGAGAGATCCCACGCATTGCTCTCTGTTAACAATTCCACAATTAAATTAACTATCTATAGGGACTTCTTGCATTACTTACTATATCCCTCGGCCAACCCAGTATTTCCTCTAAATACAAGCAGTTAGGTTATTTTTCATTGGCTCCAAATTGTCTGATTTCTAAACAGAACAATTTATACTATTATTTCATTGTGACTGTTTTAATGAATGAAATTACAAAATATTTTTGGTGCTAGAGTAATTTTCAAGATTCACAGTTTAAAGTTCTAGAGACCTAGTGTACAGCATAGTGACTGCAATTAACAATCTTGCATTGCATACTTGGAAGTTGCTAAGAGAGTAGATCTTAAAAGTTCTCATCACACACACACAAAGATGGTTAACTATATGAAGTGATGAATATGTTAACCAATGTTATTGTGGAATCATTCTGCAATATGTACCTATATAAATCATTACATAGTACTCTTTAGCCTTACATAGTGTTATGTGTCAATTATAATCTCAAAAAAAAAAAAAAAACCTTGGGAAAAAAAAGCTCTAAATACTGTACAATGTTTAATAACACATTACCCTTTTAGATTTTAATCTCCCTGAGGACAGGTACCATATCTATCCCCAGCACATGTCTGGCATGTTTAGAACTCACTGGATATTTGTTGAATTTAAAAATGAATGAGTAAAAGATAGAGGAAAAAAAGAAGATGCACATTTTAAAGAATCATTTTTTAAGACTCTCAAAATTACACAGCGTTTAATAATCATATTCTTATTTTATGAGATAACCAAAAAATACATGACACAATTTGCTGAAGTGATGATATATAAATTAAGAGACTACTAATTATTATCTGTGATCCTTAACCTTCTAGCAGCAGATGCAAAGCAGGTAAGCATGAAGCAAAAGCAATTTGTCTGTTGCTCTCTTACTCACTGTTAGATTTTTACCCTCTTGAGTTATTTTCCATGGCTGTGACACAGCTGGTGAAGCTAAATCAGGAATATTATAAATTCTCAATTTAGTTTTCCTGATAAAAATTCAGAGTTATAACCTGCATGACCACAGATAAACACTACTGAAAATGCAGTCAGCAAGCCGTTTGATACATTTGATATATATTAATATGTGCACTCAACATAGTTTATTTAGTATTATCTGATGGAGGTTAGGTTATAGGGAATAAAGTGGTAGAAGGTTTTTACTGATGCGAATTGGGACACAGTTGACATGTTGTATACTTCATGATAACCAGTGCTGTTTAAATATGGTTTCCTAGAAATGGTTATAGTATAAACTAGACTCAAAACATCTCAGTTTGCAATTTCATTCTGTGAACTACACAAAGCAATTATCATATCTTCTTTCCTCCTATGATTCCAACAGAGAACCCAGTATGTATAAATAAAGCTATAAATAACTTGTCATCTGTAATCTTTATCCAGTCAGCATTTCAAAACATGAAACAGTAGAACATTTCTTAGTTGCCCTGTTTGCTCAAAATATGGCATAAGCACTTATAATATGTATAGGAAAATACACAGATGCCTAAGTTTTCTACATCTGTTTGTTTTTAGGTAGGTATTAAATAGGAACTAGACATAGATGATTTTTCAATAGAAGGCCTTTCCACCTCACATTCTGAGCATAATGATGAAAGTATAAAATATATCCCCAGACAAGTAAAACTCGGTTAATTCCCCATGACCTTTGGAGCTGGTTTGGTCTCAAAGAATCTATGCTTACTAAGTCAGGTTCTGGATATCCAGCTCGGAATAGCCTACTTGTGGAAGAAAGTACAGTAAGTGAATTGGTACAGAGATTTTCAAGAAACCAAAGGACTTACCCAAATTACAGGTAAAATATCCCTATTACTCAGAAGTTGCTCATCAGCAAAGGTCATTACCTAATAATCCTGAATAGCTTATAGTTCAAGGTTGCAGCACACAAAAAATGTGTTTTGGAGTGTGTATATGTGTGCATGTGTGTGTATATGTAGACATTTATGGGCACTAGGGAAAAGACTGAGGAATGAGGGCATCAGGAAGAGCAGACATGGAAGACAAAGCCCAGAGTAATATGGGCTCTTGGTACATAGAAAATGCCAGCTCCTATAGAGAATGCTATCTACACTTGGCTCAAGGCTTAGCTCAGAGAAGGAATACCTGATTCTAATCTAATCCTTTCTAAAATAATTCCCTAGTTTATCAGACAATATCATATAGAAGGACTGGAATGAGAAAGTCAGCTTTTTAATCTCAATTCCACCACTTAGTAGTTGGGTGACCTTGTGAAACTCTTAACTTTCCTAACCTAAGTTATAGGAATAACAAAGAAAATAAGAGCACTTTCCTTTTACAGGGCAATTATGAAGATTTTATCAAAGAATGTATACAGGGGTGCCTGGGTGGCTCAGTCAGTTAGGCAGCTGCCTTCGGCTCAGGTCATGATCCTGGAGTCCTGGGATTGAGTCCCACACTGAGGTCCCTGCTAATTGAGGAGTCTGCTTCTCCCTCTGTCCCTCACCCTGCTCTCATGCTCTCTCCCACTCTCTCTCTCAAATAAATAAACTCTTCCAAAAAAAAAGGTATATAAAATTATGTTGAAAACTATAAATTTGTCTATAAATATTAGTAATCCACATCGTTTCAAACATAGTTGGGTTCCAATTAATTTATACTCAAACACATAATGGGGGGCACCTGGGTGGCTCAGTTGGTTAAGCAACTACCTTCAGCTCAGGTCACAATCCTGGAGTCCTGGGATCAAGTCCCACATCGCACTCTCAGCTCCATGGGGAATCTGCTTCGCCCTCTGACCTTCTTGCCTCTCATGCTCTCTCTCAAATAAATAAATAAAATCTTAAAAAAAAAAAAAAACACACATAAAGGGTACCCAAATCAGTACAATTTATAGGAATGAGAAACTTCTTCTTTTTTTTTTTAAACAT